CTACATTCCTCAACAGCTGATTCAACGAACGCCGACTGACAAAGGAGAAATACTGCTAATATTTTGACATTCTGTAAAGTCATCATTTTTGCTGACTCTCGCTCTGTTATGGCTAAGTAATACACTGTAGTCCTGTGGATAAAATGGTTGAAAAATAGCTCAAATACACCCATGGGAATATAACGTACACCGTAAGTAATACATAGCTGACCAGGAGTTAATAAATGGCATTTTAAATATATGAAATTTACAGAATTCATCACGTAGATCTGTTAGACCAACATGAATATATTGCAAAATACAGCCCTTACACCTTGCATTGTGAATTTAAGAAAAATAAGATGCTGAAAACGTACAGTCTTCGAACTGCTCTACGTTAGGAAACGCGACGGGAAACAGGATTTTTTTAAATAGAGAGTAAAAAAGCCCTGTGGTAATGGAAATTTCTTTATAGAAATAACAATATATCCTTGAGATACGGAGCCTTGCTCTATAAAATGGAAGGCAAAATAAAGGAAATATGTTGCTACAGGTATACGCTTTGAACACCAACTCTTAGGGTGCGTTTCTTTAAGAAAATCCAAGATTGGATTCTTAAATCCGAAAAAGGATTTTGCGTTTCTTTACTAAACAGATCAATCCAAGATCACTTAAGGGTACATCAAAGGAACCGAAGAATCCTTGCTCAGAGTGGATTCTTCGGTTCCATTGACACACCATGATCCGAGAGATCTCGGATTGTTCTGTTTAGAAAAGAAACTCAAAATCCGTTTTCGGATCTAAGAATCCAATCTTGGATTTCCTTAAAGAAATGCACCCTTATATCTCGACTTGAATAAGATTCCAGTAGGACTCTTTTCCTGTTCGTTTATCTTTTCAATTCCTAAAGTAAAAGTAGATTAATTAATATTCTAGGTGAGCTCAGAAAAAACTATAGAAGAATTACTTCCGAGTCATATTCGGTCATCTTGAGCGGGTTGAAAAAACTCTACTCTTAATTTAATTTAAAATGTTTTTGATAATTATGGTGGTTAACTTTTCTATAACTTATCAGAGAACATTTAAGATCACGATTTCGCTCTGGTGACCGGTTGAGTTTGATTATGAAAATGTTAGAAAAAGTTTGCTATAGGACTTTATCAAACGCTCTAGCAGAATTTACATTTACACAAGTAAAATCTATTTGGCAATTGCCTGTCAGGTGCGATAAGAATCTTTACATAAGTACCTGCAAAGATAACTGATAATTATATACTCCAGGAGTATTCGTTTCAAATTCAATTTCAAATTTCGTTAGCGAAATCGAAAAAAAATTACAGTAAATTTTCAAACAGATGATTATTAGTTTTTTTTTCTACTGAAGTAGAAGATCCTCTTGTAACCTTTTCTTTCAGCTGCATCAAGCTTAGAACAAGTAACGGAAATAAAGTAGATGTAGGGTATGTGATATGGTCATAAAATACGTATTTTGGTTTTAAAGATATAAAGACAGAAGGTAAATTTAACTCGAGTTTTCAGGTGCATAAAGCTTAGAACAAGTACTAACGGAAATAAGGTAGGTGTAGGGTATGTGATATGCTCATAAAATGTGTATTTTGCTTTTAAAGATATAAACACAGAATGTAAATTTAACTGAGACTAGTTTTCAGGTGCATAAAGCTTAGAACAAGTAACGGTAATAAAGTAGGTATAGGGTATGTGATATGGTCATAAAATATGTATTTTGCTTTTAAAGCTATAAAGTCAAAATGTAAATGTAGTCTCGCGCACAAAGTGATCATCAGACTAAGCACTCTGTTTATATCTGTATATTTTGCTCTGCATATTTTTTGTATAATGCACTCTTAAGGATTCATTCACTGTTTATCCGTTAATTTTGTTGTCAATAAACTCTCATGTAAAAGAACTTACGATATTGCTGAAAGGCCCCCTTTTTAACTTTTTGTGGTTTGCATGTCAGTGTTGATGTTGACTCGATATTAAAACAGCTCTCATTTAGCTTTCCGTCAAGGATCCGATTAGGTGATACCCCAAGGACGAATTTTAAGTTTCGGTGTTTTAAAACAATTAAACCTTTTTCTGTGGTTTGCACGGTCCGTGTCAATGTTGATTCGATTCAAAAGCAGTTTCCAGTTAACTGTTAGCTAAGGATCGATTAGGTTATATGGGAAGGCTATTTTGAGTTTCAAGACTTCCGGACAAAAACCCGAAATATTCACTTGTGTATACTTCCTTGGATATTTTCTTAGAATATTCGTGAAAGCAATAAAATTCTCGAACCTAAATGGAGGCGGACATCAACAATTTGGTGGACTGGCCAAAATATATCGTGTAAAGACAGATTCCAATTCTCCCTTAACTCTGGCTTAATTTTCCTAGTTTTCTCTTTTAGCTTTTCCGCGTGAAGTAAAGTAAATAGGTAAATGTGGCACTCATCTCAAATTTTGTCAGAACACGCTCGATACGTGGACAGCAGTATACGCTCGTTTACCGTCAAACTTTTTATGTTATGCTTCCAAAAAATTAAAAGGACGAATGGAAGTTGCTTCTGTTTAAATCTCCATATTGAAAATGCTGACATGTCTGAATTTTCCTGCTACATTTTTCTTCCTTTTGTTTTTTTTTTCTTTTTTGTGCAGAAGGCACTTATACTGTTGAAGTCAACTCGCTCCTTAAGACTTTACATTTGAACTGGTATCGAAACTATGGCTAAAACAAAATATCCAAGACCTAGTGTCTTTACTGTGCAATAGATGGCCTTTAGAAATGAACATCGCTTGTTATCAGCGACATTTTATGAGTGAAACAGAATGGACATTTGTTTCCTTGTTGATAATCAATTATTTAGTCTAGCGCATGGCAGTGGGTTAGGATCGTCGAGAACACGTCGACATAGAAAAGTAAGTTTGATACCGAAAAAAAAAAAATATGGACGAAAGTTCCATTAAAATATTAAAAGACTTAAAGGGAAGGATATTTATTCTCCTTCATCTAACTCCTTACATCGAAGGGAGCAACAACTGGAAGGGTGTCGAAGCTATAGCTAAAATAGAATTTTAAGTACAAACCTTATTGTCTTGTTTAAGATTCCTCCTGAGTGCTTTGGATGTTCACCAGAAATGAGCCTCCCTGCCCATTGGCAACACGTTATATGTCGACCAGAATGCAAGTGCGTTTATCTTTTCTAATCAATTATTTAGTTTGATGCATGGGCGTGGGGGAAAGATCGCGTACCGAACGCCATTAAAACGGCCTCTTGATATGTTGAAACTGTGCACAAAGCGCTGGTTCAAAAATTAATAATTAAACTAAAACTTATAAATAGGCTTAGGAGAAGGATATTTACTTCCCACATAGAAGATGGTGTTCGATGCTTTTTTTTTTTTTT